GGGCCGGGCCGTGCAGCCCAGCCCGCCCCTGGCTGCCTCGCGCCCCGCCCTTACCCCGACCTCCGCCTCCCAAACCGAGGAGCCGCCCTCTCTTTACCCGGCCCCGGCACCTGTAGGTGGTTTCTGCCAAGTATCCCCTGCCCCGAGTTTACAGCACGGCAGAGGTCGACGCCTCTGGAGATGGGCTATCACTGGTTGTGGAGGTGGCTTACAGGCGCAGTTTACTCTGAGGTTCTGTCCTTTAATTTAAGCGCTGATGATTCCATACAGGAGCTCCTTCCAAAGAGTTTTTTTTCAAGTCTGTAACAACATCTGTGACTCCTGGGTAATGGTCTCCCAACAAGCAAACAGGCCTTGCTTTGAAAACTTCACTATGAGAGTGTTACGAGCGTCATTTGTGTCCGAAGAGTTGGACAGTTTAAAACTGAAGCCTCAGAGACACCAGTGGAGCTGTTCTAAGTTGCTATCAATTCTTTTTCCAGGTCATCCTCGCTTTTTCAATCAGCTGTCCACAGGACTGGACATCATTGGCTTGGCTGGGGAGTGGCTGACATCAACTGCTAATACAAACATGTAAGCAGCATCCTGTTGTTGGTGTCTGTGGCTGGGCCTTACAGGGGCTGCCATCATCATGGCAGATGTGTTGTTGCAGATCTGTATAGTTTTTGTCTTTAAATAATGATTGCTGCCTCTTCAATAAAAGTCTCTCACCTTTTTCTTAATGTGGCAGTAATACAGTGAAAATAGTGATAAAGCTAAACAGCTTTACATTTCTGATAAATAGAAATGCAGGTATCTCAGAACACGTGGTAAGTAAAGCATGATGATTATGATATCATAGATAACATGAAATAGTTTTTCTTCTCTTGGACTGACTTTCCTTTTCCTCGTTTTTTTTTTTTTTTTTTTAAGCTTTGTCTCTAGACTGAGTAATCAGTATAGCTATCCATATATTTGTATATTTAGACCAGATTATAAACCACATAAAACTTTATTGTCTTTTTGCTTGTTGACTTCAGAGGTAGTAGGTTTGGGGCATCACCTTCTCCTGGTCATGTGCTGGTAGAGAAGTGGCTTCAAAATTATTTAAAAATATAACAATGAAAATTAGTTTTATGATAATGAAGAAAATAGTCTAATATTTATTACAGTTATGTGTAAATAAATGAAAGTATAAATACAGTAAAATTTTACAACTAGAGCATATCATTTTTTCTTGACCTCAAAATTGATGAAAACTACAGGTTAATGTGAGGTGTTACGCTGAATTTTTACAACAAAGTGTAATTAATGAAAACAAACCCAGCAAACAAAAAAGTCTTCTAGTCAGTTTTTATTTATATATTGACTTGTATATGCTAAAAATATATGATGGGAGTCCGAACACTTGGCAGGTAACACACTGCTCTGTTTTAGTTCTGTATTGGACATGTTTTGAGTCTAAAGCTACCTCTGTTTCAGGTAGTTTGTTGCTAACTGGCAGAATACAGAAATGTATCTGCAGGCTGGAAAATGAACAAAACTTTCACTGGCCTATCCATAAGTATATGGTTCATTGAGTATAACTGATTACTAGCAGCTCTATGTAGATTATGAGGTGTGCCTGTTCTGTGACATTAGCAATAAATAAACACAGATAAAGTGCTCCAGCCAAAACTAGTCTGCTCTTTGTAAAAATGGTCTTCTCAATTAGTTCTCTGCTAAATATTGGTATGATACACTTGGGTTTAAAAGCTGATTGTGAAGAAAACCCAGTAATGTAGATTTTAATTGTAAAATGAATATTGCGAAGTGCTTTAAAGTGCTTTTATTTTTTTTTTTCTTCATGACACAATTAAAAGTGAAGACAAATCCGTTCGTGCTTCTAAAAGAAAATTTTGCTTAAATACTGCTTATGACAAAACCATATTGTGTCACTTTTTTGCAAGCCCATTTTCCTTTGACTTATACTTTTATGAAATAAAAATTCTTAAATATTGCTATAATTATTAAAAATATCACACTCATTCACTTTTGAAAGATTAACTTTTAAAATTAGTTTTTCCTTTGGCTTTAAAAGTAAATTGTTAAATGGATAGTTCTGTAAAGCTAGCTTCTGATCCATACTTTAAACAAGAACACATCTTGAAAAGATGCAAGCGTGAAAATTGAGTACGAGTATGAGGTTCATCAAATGCAAAATAATACATTGCTCTCTCTTTTTCAGCAGACTAAGGTCGACATGATATGCTTATGAATAACACTGTAATTGCAAGTAAGGTTAAAGCAAGTGGTTTGTAAAATATGATTAAAAGAACTGACAGAGAAGGTTATTAAAATGAGCTAAATCATCTCTGTGAGCCCTGGGGGATGTATTATTTGTTTTGAGCAGTATTCCGGCGAAGAAGGGCAGGTTCTGACCCTTACTAGAAACTATTCTGACCTATTTTAGCTACACAAGCACATAACATGCAAGTGACAGTAACACTGGATTATGGTGGGGAATGTTTTCCATTGCCATTTTTTCTTTTCTACCTGTAAACAATACTTAAAATATATCAAAGCATACCCGCCTATGCAATGTTTTTTGCCCTCATTAAGTGGATACAATAGTTGACTGCTGACTTGTTTTTAGTATTTGGTAATTAGAAAGTCATCATTTATAATTACTCTTGGCAGTTATTGATCGCATGGTATTGTAGAAATAAGTTGTCCTTGGAGATCATCAACAGAATAAATCCACTTAATTAATTGTATTTAGATTTTGAAGCTCTAGCTCAATACTTTGAGTTAACTATGAGCTAATACTTTGAGCTAACTATGGTTATGTTTAGCTCAGTGAAGTTCATTGTTTTCATAAGGATTTGGCAATCTTATTCCACAAGTGTCGAACTGGCACTTTGGGAAACAAATGTTTTACACTACAGTCTTGTACAGCAGTCAGCAGCACTATGATGGTGAGCATTAGGTCTTCTGTTTGTTATATAGGAAGTTGCAAAAGAGCTAATACTGCAGTTTTAATTGACCACTTATTTCTACTGCTGTCTTTCTGAGGATTTTGGCTTGGGTAAAGGCTGCAATATCAGAACTTCAGTTACAGGAAAACTTTTAGGAATGCTAAGCATTTTCAGAAATAGCCATAGACTGAGAGTTTATTGTGGCTGTTGGTTTGGGTTTTTGGGGTTTGTTTTCTTTGTTGTTGTTTTTTTTTTGTTGGTTTGGTTTGGTTTGGTTTGGTTTGGGTTTTTGAATCTGCATTTGATTGCCTTTTTTTTTTTCTTTACCTGTGCAGGTTTACCTATGAAATTGCTCCTGTTTTTGTCCTTATGGAACAAATAACACTTCGAAAGATGAGAGAGATTATTGGATGGCCAAATAAAGATGGTGATGGAATATTCTCACCTGGTGAGTGTTTCCTTTCTGTTTTGGTGATTTGACTAAAACTTCAAAAGTTGAAATAAACATGAACTGTGTCTGAATATCTGCAACACAAAATAGTGCATCAGGTATTTAGAAATAGGAATAGTGTGTTTAAACACACCACAAAAAAGTTTTGGGGAAAAAATTTCTTTGATCATGGCTGACCAACATTTTAAAATTTAGCTACAAGTTCTGGTATATAGTTAGGCATTTAAATGCCCTTTTGTTGCACTTAATTTCTGGAAGTGCTGAGGAACTGAAATTACTGCTGACCAATAGCTCTTGAGAATCATGTACTGACTTCTTTGGTCAGTGAGTATTTGGGCTCACAGTTCGAAAAAGATTGTGACTGGCTGTCTCTTTCTGGGTCATACTGTCTGGGGTATAATCTGACAGGATTCACAAGTATGATTCCACTATGAAGCCCAAGACAAAAAGTGTCTTCCCATTAAGATGATACAAAGCTAGTTAGCAATGATAGAAAAGTTTGGTAAACCATGTGGAGGTCCTAGGGCAATGTATGGACAATATGGTTGCCCATCAGAAATCCAGATTTTTGGATTTGGTATGAGCAGACACCATCCTGTTTCAGAGGATTAAGGATAGTTCCACTTCCTTTTGAAACAGCCCATAGAAAATCCAGGAATGCACACTTGCTTGGTCTCCAGTCCCATCTGCTAGAAAAATTACATTTATTTGTCAGTGTTCTTGTTGATGAAGAAATATTAGAGGAAGAATTTATCCTAGACTTTACAGATGAGATTCATCTTACTGAATCTTGAGGTCTGTATTGTAGAACTGAGCTAATTGTCCTGAGTTTTTTTTTTAGCAGTAAGCCAAGAGAAATAGGTGCTTTCCCTCAATTCACACTCTTTAAAAGTAGGCGTCAAAATAGATTAGCTGAATCATAGTCTTCAAGGTTCCTCTTTCCTTTAACTGACTAGAAGGAAGCTTAGAATAACTAGCTTGGCTGTAGAAGTCTAAGGAATCTAATTCTGTATCTACAGGGAGATGAAATAAATCCATCCAGTACGCGACCGTTTTTAAGTCTCAATTTGATAAGTTCCTGTTATTCTTGCTAACAAGAAACTGTCAAGCAAAAGCAACACAATGAAAGCTGAACTCTTTAGGAATGAGTTATGACATGTTAGCAATTGAGATGATAGATTGGAAATTCTGACTATCAGTATGACTTTCTAGAGGGTCTGTCTCTATGCTGTTTAGATAGAAGACCATACATTTCAGAGATTTATTTTTTCATAGTTCGCTGTCATTTGCATTTCATTGCATAATGCAAATTACACTTGTATGTCTTTGGTCTAATATGCAGGATTTTTTCTCATTGTGATTTTTATCTTCATTTATTTATTCCTTCACAGGAGGAGCTATCTCCAACATGTACAGCATAATGGCTGCACGCTACAAGTATTTCCCTGAAGTGAAAACCAAAGGCATGGCTGCAGTCCCTAAACTGGTTCTCTTTACCTCAGAACATGTGAGCTTAATACACAGCTTATTCCTAAATTCTTAATATATGTTGTGAGGATGCTTCATCATTAAACAACCACTCCATTAAACGTGTGTGTTTTGCTGCAGAGTCACTACTCAATAAAGAAAGCTGGAGCTGCACTTGGATTTGGAACAGACAATGTGATTTTGATAAAATGCAGTGAAAGGTAGGATGAATGCTAAGGTTTTGGTATATTAAATGTGTTCATCTGTTAAATTTGTTGTATTTTACTTAAGGACTGGTTCAGTACAGTGTGTCAATTTGCTAATGGTCTGTTGAGAAAAGCCTATTGAATCAATTCAACTGTAGCTAGTATTTCCATATGCACTCTTTAATTTTCTTGATCTTTCTATTTCTACAATAATTACAGAGGCAAAATAATACCAGCTGATTTGGAGGCAAAAATTTTGGAAGCAAAACAAAAGGTTTGTGTTTTTTAAAATCGGTACCTTACTGCTTGGCTTAGTAAAATTACCTCTTCCTTTGAAGGTTGAGGGTTAACAGTAAATGAGAACATTATAATGATATGAATGGTATAATAATATTTTTCATTTGCTTAATTATAGATGTGTATAATTATTCATGTATTGTTTAAGGAATCACCTATGTCTTGCTAAGAATTCCATTTGCTGTTTAAAACAAAAGTATTTTTAACTCTTGAACTACATCTGGATTTTATGACTTTTAAAGATAACTCTGGAAACATATGGAAAAAAATTATGAAAATATGAAATTAAACCTACTTTTATTCAAACATCAAAGTTTAGCCAAAACCATCAAAAATTCTATTGAAGTCCTAAAAATTCCCATGTATCTCAAGTACGAGGCTGGAGGGATTGTAAATATAGCCAGTAAATTAAATTTTTTGAGGTATTCATTATTTCTTGCATCAACACAATGAAAAATCCATTAGTTAGATAACCAAAGTTAGAGCAATCAAGATTTTTTATTTTTAAATTTTTTTTTTTTACTTCTTAACTACTTTACATTTGGGCACTCTATGAATTTCCAGTTCACATTTATTTCATCTATTCAAAATTGTCTCACTTTGATCTGATAGTTCCACATTTATAGCTTTTGTTTTTAATTTGCTTTGTTCTGTTTCTTAGTAGATAAAGACTAAAAGGACATCTTCAAGCCTTCAAATCACAATTTACAAATCACATTTAATTAATTTTCCTCTATAGTGCTGTAAAAGTACTTGACTATTGCTAATCTTCTATTAGAACATTTGAATCTTTTCTCTGAAAGAGATAAAACAATATTCTTTACTTTCTGGCTAGTTAATTTTGTGAAGTTTCAGTACAATATAAGCAGAGTTTGCTCCTACCCTGTATACAACTTTTTTCTGCTGTTGTTTATATGTACCTTTCGCATGAGAAGAAAAACACTTTTAATGGAAAATGGGATAGGAAATGGAAAATGGGATAGCAATGTTTCTAACATGATTTTTACTTTTTTTTTTCTGAAAGAGGTTGAAATTTATTTATTTATTTATTTTTATTTTAGGGATATGTTCCTCTTTTTGTAAATGCAACTGCAGGCACTACAGTATATGGAGCCTTTGATCCAATACAGGAGATTGCAGATATATGTGAAAAATATAATCTCTGGCTCCACGTAGATGTGAGTAACTAAATAAAGTTATATTATTCAGGCAAAAGAGGATTTTTGTTTACACATATTTTGTCTCGAATTAAAATATTTATTACTAGATCCAGAGTAAATTAAATTATGTTAGACTTTTCTGAAACCATGAGTCTCCTCTGTTTTCATTCTCTTCCAGGCTGCCTGGGGAGGTGGACTGTTAATGTCCCGAAAGCATCGTCATAAATTGAATGGAATAGAAAGGTATTCTATGGTTCTTATTTTGTAATACTATTTTTAAAGTACTTTTGTAAGGTACATAATGCTTCACAAATTCATAAAAGAATTAATTTGATGCATTAAGGAGTTTGAACACTAAGTTAAACAAAAGCAAGACAGACAGGAAAGGTTCATACCAGAAAGACTGCAACAATACTACAGAAGAAAACAGTGATATGTAGCTGAGTGAAAGGGTAAGTTTTCAGCAGATTTGAAGGAGGACAAGCTTTTTTTTTTTTCCTGACAAAACGGAAGAGAAGCTATGGATAGCTTTGAGTGGATCATAAATCTGGAAAGGGGTGAAGTAGGATTTAAGGAAAAAATGAAGTGTGATAGTTAGACAACCTCTGAAGTGTAGGGCCTTGTGGACAACAGTGAGAAATGAAGAATCCAGAGAAGGTGTTTGAGCATGAGTACCTATGATGGGAAGCCATGACATGGTGGGAATTTAGAGATTCTTTCCTGAAAGATGTTTGCAGTTATTTCTAGAAAATAAAGAGTACGTGTTCTGCCTGAAAATAAGTGTTCTGTAAATGAAAGTGTATAGAACATATAAGCAATACAAAGGCAAACATATATATGTACACACACACATAAATATATGTGTAAACACCAAAGAACAACACATGGTAGAGACTGAATTAGCAGCAATCTTTATGGGCAAATTTCAGTACCTATAAGGCTGGAAAGGACTACGATAGCACAGGGCTGGTACAGTTCTGCTGTACCTGACCAAAGACTGAGAGAACTTACAGGAAGGCCAGACAGAGTCACAGATATTCATCACGACTCAGGGCACAGGGACCTATGAGTTGTTGCCAGGTGAGGACTATGTGAAACAAGGAGGAAGCTGTTGTAGGGGCCAAAGTGAAGTCTGCAGAAGAGAGTGCGTGTATCTGTCCCCAGGTGTGTAACACACATAACATAGATTACCAAGATGCCCACTGAGACCAGAAGCCAGCCTTTATTAAATAACTAATGGAACCAAATCTTAAAAGGCACAGCATTTGTGCCTGCCCCCAAGCCCTTATAATTCAGATTCAAGAAAAGTCCCACGTGTAGTCTTTGGCACAGTTGTTCACGTATCAGTGACAACAAGGCTGTAGTCTGTAGAAGATGCTATGTTTAACTCCATGGGTGTGTTTGTCTCAAGATTTCCCTCGAAACTGCTCTATCATAGAAGACTACCTGTCTGAATAAAAATCAGAAAAGCAATGAAGAGCCAGAAACTTAAGATCTTTCCTATAATTGCAGATGCCAGTTTTCAGTGAAACAAAGCAGGTTTGAAACAATCTCTACCCATGTACTCTCAAGGTAGCACCAAGCTGCTTCCTTGAGTCAACCAAGTTGAGTGCAGGTGCTGTGTAAAAGCATAAAATGAGAGCAATGAACAATGCTCTTCCTTAGGGAAAACACACTCTCCTAGTGGTGGGCATCTCATACAGTGAAGAGTGAGTATGAGATAAAGAATAGTGTACAGAAGGGCTAATAGGCAAACCATGGGGACCTTCCTGTCACAGGCACAGCAGTGTGTACTCTGAAGTAGCAGAACTGTATCAACGTCTGCCCAGTCTAACTCACTAGTCACTCATGTTATGAAAACACACCTAATATGAAGTCAGCATTGTAAACTAATTTCCTTAAGCTACACAGGTTTGGTCACAGTAGTTTGGCACACCTCTTGAGCTGAGGTCAACCCAGTGGTGCTAATTAACACCCTCAATTAATCAGCAAATACAGAAAGCAGCAGGCCATGAAGCATCATATTATTTCCGTCCTCGTCAGCTGTACAGATCTTCAGACATGGGATGGGACCCACATGTACTGTGTAATTGCCTGTCACAGCCCCCAGCTGGGGTCTAGTGCTGACACTCAGACCAGACTTGGCCTGCCCGGAAATGTGAGGTCTAAGGACTGGTGTGCTGCCATCACGTGGAGCTGGGGCTGCCTGTGGTGGGAGATCCTCCAGCTGGCTGGCTGCACAGGCTATGGAGTGATATCTTCATGTTAAAATAACCCTAATGCTCCTTGCAAAACCTTGAAATCACCCTTGTTTGGAACCTGGACATTTAACGTGCTAAACTGAAACCATCTAAACTGTCAGTGAAGTGCTTTAAAAGATATTTGCATTCTAAATCTGAGCTATGTACCTACTGGTTTGCACTGCCTAAGCAGAAGGTTTTGGAGGGATGGTGAGCTCCCCAGGTACAGCACAGACTGTACTGTACTTTTGGCTGCGGACTGCTATGGTCTAACCTAGAAGAGACAGAGTTTGGAATTGTATCTGTAATCTTTATGAAATTAGTGGTCCTCACACTGGGGTGGAGTCGTTGCATTGCTCAAAACAGAGGAACTGTGGTTGTGTTTGTGCCATCTGAGAACAGGGTATAGAAGAGGAGAAAATATCTTGGTTTTTTTCAACCACATTGGAAAAACACATACATAGTCTGTGAAAAATGATTATACGCTTTCCTTCTCTGGAATACACAGTGAATCAAGGGGACGTTTGGAAATTAATTGCTTAGGGTGAAGAGGTCAACGGATGTGCAATGTTGGTGCATTTATTTTAGTGTCATCATTATACTGTCTAGGATAGTATGTTAAAAATGCAGCATATCTCATCTGTTTGACTAGTAAATTAGGTGACTTTGTGTATCCACCTGTATTTACACGTAAAAAAATTTAAGCTTTACATACAGAATGGTAGGATTGTGATGTAAAGTTTTATAGCCTTTTAAAAGTCCATGGGCTTGACAAGCAAGGCCTTTTATGGTTCTAACTGAAAAAGCAGATAAGCATAAGTGTCTTTTCCCGTGCTTTCTACTTTTCCAGCAGCTGCTCAGTAAAGAACTGTATTTGCCCAGAAGTCATATTATTCCCTTAATTATCTGACATTCCCCTCCCCAGTCAGAACCTTGAATTGATGTAACCTGTCAAAGTTGTTTTGTTACACTAGAAGTGGAGTTTTCTGGGGTTGCAGTTAGCGTATCTGCTAACCAGCATAGTCTGATACTCATTAGTTGATGTTAGGAATAAAATAAACTAGTCAGAAGTCTGACACTGCAATATTAACACGCAAAAAAATTTTCTTTTGTGGACAGTATAGCTGGGAAAGAAGACACTTAAGACACTAATAGTCTACATAGTGAAATCATCATGGTCCATATGTTTCCAGCTGAAAGCAGAATAAAAAGAAAGTGACCGCTTCAGGTTAAGCTTGTTTTCCAGACCTATCTGAATTTGTAATTTTTTTGCAGAGCCAACTCAGTCACTTGGAATCCACACAAGATGATGGGAGTGTTGTTACAGTGTTCTGCCATTCTTGTCCGGGAGAAGGTCTGCCTTATATTTAATAACATAAGCAGTTAAAAAAAAAAGTAAATATCAAGCCCTACTTTTAAAAGGGCAGTGCAAAATCTGTTTAATTTCAGAACTTCTTTTGGAAGGAATAATTTTATGGATTTACATTGTGTTTAGGAAGTTGTTTTATCTTTTCTGTTGTGTTTTTTTTTTGGGGGGTTGGGGTGGTGGTGATGGACTGTTGTCAAAGCGGTAGACAAATTGGATCAGACCTTTAGTTGTTGAATCTTTGCTTATTCTAATAACAACACTAGAGCCATGCTAATACACTTCATCTGACCATCTGCCCCATTGTTTCTATGATATGCTGAATGTCTTAGTATTGGGAACTGATCACAGTCTAAACTGCTTAAATAAAATGCAGCATTTTTACTTTACACAGTGGTTTAAAAGCTTCTCAGTTCTCTTGAAAGGAAACATGCTGCTTTTATTATGACTCCATATATATTTTTAGGGCTTTCTTCTAGATTATTCATTGTCATCAATGAAAGCAAGAGCAGTGTCTTAATTCTTATAAGGAACATGTGTTTTTCTTAGATGATTAAAAAAAAGGTCATATCATCTGTGGATACAACTAATTCTGTTGTCCACCAATTTCTGGCATGTCAATTGCTACTAGAAGAGGTAGGTTGAAGAAATGGTCCCTGTGCATAGAACTGATATGAAGGAGTTGTAGGTTCCAGCCCTAGGTCTGCCATTGCTCTTTCAGGTGACTCTCATCTAAACTGAAGATTGCAGCATTTATTTCTCTTTATGAAACACTTTTGACACCTATTGGAGGGAAGCAGTAGCCATTATTTGTGGCATGCATGCTTATTATGGTAACTATTGCAAGATTTTGGCAAAATTTTTTATTACCTGCGTGAGAACTTTGATAGGTGTGTTTCTATTTATCAGATACACCACTGTCTTCAAGGTTCTTCAAAGAACCACTAATAAACTCTAAAGGAACTCTAAATGCAAACTGTTTTAGAAATGTAAAATGTGTAGGATTTCAGGGTAACATACAGAACTTGCTCCTCTGTGTTTCCTTCAGAGATATTTACCAGTAATCTGTAGGGTTCTACTGGTCTGTGGATCATCGTTATTTGTAAGTAAAAAATGTCTGGTTTAGGTAATTTATACTTATATTCATCACTAATGCTAAGTCTCATAAGGCTGCACTATATATGAAGTTGAAGCATTCAATTACTTTTTTTTCCCCTCTTCGTTTTCTGTAGCTATCTGCTGCACTGAGAGACCACAGCTTTATTCTAGTGTGTAATTTAACACATTAAAGATTTGTCTTACAAATTTCTTAAGAAGCCTTACAAAGTGAAGTGGACAAAATTAGTGAAAACTAAGAACCTGTATTAATCTGAGAATGTTTTTTCAAGTGTGGGTGTGTAAAACCATATGACTACTCAGGAACTTTTAAGAGAACCACCTTAGGTAATGGAATTAATTATGTGACTCAGGTTTACAAAACAAGCTCAGTATTTTATAATTTTGCCTGTTAAAGAACAATTCTTCTGCATATATTTGAAATGTTTTAATATATTATTAATGCATACCATTTCACATGCACCTATGTCATATAACTACATGCTTTTTGTTACAGGGTATACTTCAAGGATGCAATCAAATGTGTGCAGGGTATCTCTTCCAGCAAGACAAACAGTATGATGTATCCTATGACACTGGAGATAAGGCAATACAGTGTGGTCGACATGTGGACATTTTCAAATTCTGGTTGATGTGGAAGGCAAAGGTAAATAATAAAAGTTCATCTCAAAAATCAGGAATAAGTTATTTAATTTATAAGTCTCAGGTGATGGAATTTTTCTTAAGCATAAAGGTTTGTGTAGTTACATTCTTTCAACACACAGATATCTGAATATTAAGTCAGAAAACCATAATTTAAATTCTAGAACAATGTTAGCCATCAATAAATTTAGCTGGAAATTAGAAGAAAGGTTTAAGTCACTAGATGAGTCCTGCAGTAAAACCAGTGAGGACAGGATTTGAGATATTGGATGGAGCCTGTTTCTAGCAAATTGAATGATTATACTACAAAAATCTTGAGAAAATAAAATACTAGGAGCTATGGAAATTTTTCCTTCAACATTAGCGATCATACTCTTCTTCATATTGTAGAAATATATAGCCTAGGTCCAGAAGTACTCTTCAGTCATTTTATTCAGTCCGAAGAACTTACCCCAAATATGCAACAATTTAAGTGTGCTTGTTTTTCTTATTTATGTAGAAAGTGTATTTAAAAACAAACAAACAAACCATGACTCTTTTTTCTCTTATTTTACTTATTATCAACATTAATCTACTTTTTCTAGGGTTATGATATTTCCAAACAAATCAGATATGATAAAAGACATGTGGCTAGGCAAATTACTTTTAGCAAACATATTGCAGGCTTTTGCTTGATGACTTTTTTAAATACAAATTTCTAGCCAGCTGTTCAGAGGAAATAAAGTACTTCCCAACTCATACCTGGTCTGAGTTCTGTATCGGGTCTGGCTGAGCTGATTTTCCCATAGCAGCCCTCCTGGTGCGGTGCCGTTGTACTGAGAGTTAGAAGGGCGTTGGTAACACCCATGTTATGACTACCACTGAGCAGTGCTCACACAGCACCAAGGCTCTTTCTAACATTCCCCCCACAAGGGGAAGAGGGGCAGGAGCTTGGGGGGACATAACCAGGACAGCTGACCTGAACTGACCAAAGGGATTATTCCATAGCCTATGATGTCAGCTCAACCATAAAGCCAGTACAAAGGAGGAGGGGGGGGGCTACTCCTCAGTCCTCCAGAGGAACCGCTACGTGTTTTGGAGCCCTGCTTCCCAGGCGAGGCCAGACATCGCCTGGGGATGGGAACTAGAGAATAAGTCTTTGGTGTTTTTTGCCCTTTGCTTCTGCGTGCAGCATTGTTTAACTTTGCTTTCTAAACTGCCCTTGTTTTTTACCCACAAGGCTTCTGTTTCTATCTTATTTTTTTCCCTTCTCTTTTTGCTCTGTGGGGGAAGGAGAGGAAAGGGGGAGGGTGATAGAGTGGCTTGGTGGGCATCACTTGCTCAGTCAGGGTTAAACCACCACAGTTCCCATTCTATGTTCCTAGTCTTTCAGCAAGAGGTGGACAGCCAAGACTCAATATACATAATATTTTTGGAAATTGGGGAAAAAAAAGAGCTGAAAATAATCTATTAAAAAGATCCTAATCCCTTTTTATTATCATAATAAATTATCTTTAAATGAGAACAAAACTAAATAGTGATTACAGTTAGACCATCGTTAGCCACAAGAAATAATGCTGCTAAGTGTGTTCTGATGGGAAACCTGTAAGAGTGAAGCCTGTCTGAAGAGATGATTGCATCAAAGAAGGAAAAATGGCCATGTAATTAATACTAACTTTCTTATTAAAACAGGGTACAGTAGGATTTGAAAATCAGATCAACAAATGCCTGGAGCTGGCAGAGTATCTCTACACTAAAATCAAAAACAGAGAAGAATTTGAGATGGTTTTTGAAGGGGAGGTAAGTTTTCTTTCATTTAACCGGTGTGTAGGAGCCAAATATGTATGGAATTATGAAAGTGGTCTTCACACTTCTCACAGTTCTTCAAGCTAGCTATGCAAAACTGCTCTATTTCCTAAAGAACTACATGAATATTGACATCTTGACAATATTTTGGCCAAATGCATGTGACTTTATACCATAAATGTCAGATTTATCTCCCCTCCTCCTCTTCTGCAGAGGACTTCTCAGTTTAGGACATGAAGACTACCCTAATACAGTCTACTCATGCTGAGATTCCACATTATGACCTAACTGATAATCTCCTGGTTTTGCTATATGTTCAAAGTAGCTAGTGCTACTGTGTAACTTCCTGGTTGATAGAATAACAAAATTACTTTGACTCTCCATTTACTAAGAAAAGGAAAATAGGGTTGCCATTGCTGCAATCCTGGGAAACCATTCCTCATCAAACTAGAAGATGAAAAGCATTTGTGCTTCATTAGCACCCTAAAACACTGAAAATGGGACAACGTATAGGGAATCCTAAGACAGCAGATGCAACTAGCAATACTCTAATCCATTTATTTTGTTTTAAAATGCAGAAATAGAAAAGTTAATGCAATATTTTTGTTTTCCATGTCTGTGCTAATATATGCTACTGACCAGCTTTTGGTGTGTGATTGATCATATTATTTTGTTTATTGATGTGTGTGTTTGGTTCTTTTTGCAGCCAGAGCATACAAATGTATGCTTTTGGTATATTCCGCCAAGTCTCAGGAGTATGCCAGACTGTGATGAGAGAAGAGAAAAGTTACACAGGGTATGTGGGTTTTGTTAAATACAAAAATACAGTCAGCTCTTTCAAACCAAAGTATTCTGTTTATTAAAAATAATATAACTGTGTTGACACATGCTCCAGATTCTGGGATGTCAGTTCTTCAACTGCTTGCTATGACCTTGATATTTGTTCACATTTGTCTCCTAATTATACCAAGGCTGAAGTCACGTTTCCCCTCTAGAACAGATACAGAACATACTCAGTTATTCTTTGTTTTGTATCAATTTTGTGCTCCCGAAAGCTTTATGAATCTTTAAAAAGTAGCTAGACACATCTCAGTCCTGTTTGAATAGGAGAACATATCAGCAGGACAAAGAGAAGAGTATTTGAAAATGGTGGGACAGGTAAAGAACATGGAAACTTGCAAGTCCTTCTCAGGTTTTTATTTTCATTTTAAATTTTCTTGGTTAGTCATGCATTAATGCATTTCAGTGAAAACTAATATCTTTTGGAGGACTTTTGAAGAAATGATAGAGGAAATTGAAGGCATCATAGAGGCACCACCAGGAAAAGTAATTGTGTTACGTAAGACTTAAGGGAGTGAAATACATTAAATATGTAGCAGCATTTTAGATGGATGGAATTGGAATGAAAAATGTTCTGGAGACAAAAGAATGATTTTATAGTTGTCAAAACAAATTGCAATTACTTTTTTTTTTTTTTTTTTTTTTTTTTTTACATTTGGGAAAGGAGAACAGTAGGCAAACTTGGGAGGTTTTTTTTGAGGATTTTCTTTGCATCACACTGAGGGAAGAGAACAGAAGAGAGCAGAAATTCCTGGATCAACCCAGTGGCACGTTAGATAAAGTAATTGCCAAAAAAAGAGAGAAAAGAGGAAGATAGATATGATTGGTAAGGATTAAGTGTTTGACTTGACCCCATTAAATGTTAGAGGGCATTATAAAGCATCCTACGAAACAGTGAAAGAGACAGACATCTGACCTTGGCTGGCAGAGTAGAGCAGGAGAAAGTAGATCTAGATGGAAAATCTAGGCTCAATCAATACCGAATATTAAGACTGTCAGAACATTATTCTTTGTAAATTAAAGTGAGGAAGTGAGGTGGCAGTAAGTGCACAGTGCTGCAAAACTACAGGAAGATTTCCGTGGCTTATGCTAATAGAAAATTTACTTTATGACATGTATCTTGTTGAAAAATTCCACCATGTTCCCCTGCCCCTCTGAAAAGGATTTTGAGAATACATAATATTCTCATGGGTAACATCTGGTACTCTCAAAAAGGTGGTTTTGGTGTAGGTTTTCATAAAAAGACAGAAGATATTTCCTCATGACAAAATCTTCAGCACAAAGAAGTTACATGTACATTTAGTATATACAATTATTATGTAGTGAATAGTTTAAGGTGCTATCAGTCTATTAATTAAAAAGATGGACGTGGTTTTCAATTTTCCTTTAAATATCCAATCCTACATATTTTGGTTTTCAAGCTTTTTCTGTCACCGATTTTTTTTTTTTTATATATAAACAAATGCCCTTCTGATATGTTCATTTCTTTTTTCCAAATTAAAGAATATTGTGATGACATACACAGAAAGGATAAAATTTTTTAATTACTCTTCTCTCTCTCCCTTCTCTTTATTTTTTTTTTCCTCCTTTAATGATAAAGGTGGCACCGAAAATCAAAGCACTGATGATGGAGTCAGGTACTACCATGGTTGGATATCAGCCTCAGGGCGATAAAGTCAACTTCTTCCGAATGGTCATCTCAAACCCAGCAGCATCTAAGTCAGACATTGACTTCCTCATTGAGGAAATAGAGAGATTGGGGCAGGAGCTGTAGTGCAGTGGTTGAATTATTTGTTTTTCCAATTCACTGTTTTCCAGCACTGGCTCTTTTCTAAACCTAGTTCTATAGAACATGTTTTGAGGAAAGTCTCTTTCTGTAACATCCTTAAAGAAAGCAACTATAGGCTATTGAAACATATGTATTGGTAGATCATATTACTGAGGGAAAATGTATTATCTTGAAGTTGAAGTACTGTTGAATCTTACGTTGGTCTTGTTTATTGTAGTCAGC